ATACATAACATATAATGCGTACAATATATAATCTACAATTCATAATATGTATTATATAATACATAACGTATAATGCGTAATATGAAATATATATAATATATATAATATAATAATATAATATGTAATATACATAACGGAATATAAGTGTAGGTGTAGGATTATGACAGATCCATGCAAATTAAGTCGTCGTTTTCTTATGAGGCGAGTGTACAAGTTGTGTTATAAAAACATTACGTTCCTTTTAGAATATTTTTTATACCTTTACCATATTATTTTAACCGTTATTTAGCAGTTATATGTCAGTGGCTTCGCTTTTTTCAAATAGTATTGTTATTTTTAAATTTCTGTTGATGCTGTTGTTATTGCTTCCTCTTTCTCTCAATTTTTAAGGTAAGACATATCATATACATATATGACATATATTCACATACATTCATATGTGTACCCATTTCCCTTATACATGTATACATATATATAGGTTGTGTTATACTACACCCAACACCGAATCCTTTTGTAATATCAACAAAAGCCAATAAAAGCTTTAATAGCGTGTACGCATACTTGACGCGTCTGTTGGCTTGAGGACATAGCGACCTCTTTTGTTTAAGTGTATGTGTCCATTATAGTTTCATATTCCAAACGTAAGATCAGTTTGAAGGTGTTTACGTTAAGGCCATTGTAACATCAGAAGATAGAAAAATATATATAATATCACGACAGATTTGAAGGTACTTCAATTTGCTTACAAAATATGTTCTAATGCAAACAAAGAACGTATGAAGGTTTTAGAAATTTTGTTAATTGTTTTTGCACACTAAGAACAATACGACAAAGGAAAGAAAAATTAATTGTATTTTTTATATTTGCAATAAGTTCATAAAACCTTTTTCAATTTCTTCAAAAAGTATTTCTGTTTACCATTACAGGAGCACACACCTTCTTATGAAATTTAGTCTATCCACCAGATGGTGAGTTTTCAAGAGTGGATGGCAACTACATATATTTCTCTCATTCTGCAAACCTTAAAAACCTTAGTGGAAATGAGAGAAAACATATTATATCTTTGTTAGTTTAGCTTGTATCTTTCTGGCTTGGCATCTTTCTGATGTACGAGGGCATACGGTTAAATTCTAAAAATTTCGTAAGTATTGCTTTAAGTTTATTGCTTGCAAGCGATAAAGCGAGATGTTTATAGACATTTACGTGTTGCTGTTGCAAATGCGGACAACAAATATAAAAGTAGCGGTTGTTCCCTTAATAATTGTAAGAATGGTGGTGATTGAAGTACCGGAGGAAGGTATATGTGCGACAGAGATGGAAGTACGAGAAGAGTTGGCGAATGAGAGATAGAAAAAGGGCTTTTATGCAAAAGAACGAATGAATGAACGACGAAGTCAACAAAAGGCATGAAAGTTAGCAGATTGCTGAACATTAAACGAATGAGAATTGGCCACTATCCGAGAGCAAGCAAAAGCACGCAGCTTGATAAAAACGTAACAGTCACCAATAACAAGACGCATATCGGGGAAGTGGTGAAATACATATTGGGCATTGTTTTTCTCTAACATAAAATAGCGTTTCAGATTATAACTAATAATTGTATAGGAATGTTTGCGTTGTAATACAGGTCATAAAATAGAAAAAATGCAAACAAAGACCAACCGACTGCTGAAGAGCGAACCCGATTGTCTCGGTTTAGTAGCAAAAAACGGTATCGTACCATATTTATAAACAAATCAATGTAGATGTATGTCTAATGTTGTGTGGTTAACACTGACGGTTTTATTAATACTGTTCGTTGGTAAATAGTGCGGGACCGCCGTATTGTATGGATACCTTCCTCTTGGATGTTGTTTGTGAGGATAGTGTTTCGTCACATAAGGCTAAAATATTACTTCTTGCGAATTCTTTTGTAATGATAAATAACAAAAATATATTAAGCAAATGTTTATAAACAAGGGGATTGATAATTTGGAAATTGTGTGATTAACGGTTACAGTAGATATCCTATATGTGATTGTCTTAAATCACAATTTGCAGAGAACAAAGCAAACAAAAGATGCTAAAACAAAAAAGGAAATAATAAGAAAACAACAAATACGCCGCCGTCATTGCTAACGGACGAACCGTTTAAGCAACCTGCTGCGATTTTGCCACCTGTGGAGTTCTTTACTTTATTTTCATCAAAATATAACTGATCCCAAAGCAATTAATAATTTGTTCAAGCTCGCTCTTTTTTTCACTCCGATAACACGCTTAAAACATTTAAACATCAAGCAACAACAAACGGTAAATAAAATATAAAAACATATAAATACTAAGAGAATAAAAAGACAATAATACCGTCGAAAATTAAAACGAGGAAATGAGAAATAATAATATTGAAAAACACAGCGGGCGGATATCAAGTTTTTCGTCGTTTATTAGTGCTTAAGTAGCACCTGTTACCAAGGGTTACAAAAAGACGAATTCAAATGACTTGTATATACAGATTTAAATATGTTGAGCACAAGTTTTTTTGATTTAGTCCGCTTCTTCATCAGTGCCCAGTTTTCAGTGCTCTAAAACTTATCCCGCGAATATTTTTACTTGAGGGGGGAAACTACTGTAACAGCCTAAAGAAACGTTTCTTCAACAAATTTTTTTTTGGTGGAAGGCGAGGTAATGGAATAGTAATAGTAAAAAAAGTCATTAGGCATATATTTAAGTGCAAAGCCAAGCATTTTTGGAAAACATTAGGAAATCATGAATTAAAAAAAAGTCGCTTAATCTACATCTCCGTGGCCAGTGAAATGTAGAGTAGTGGATTTCAAAAATTTTGATTTTTGTGTGATTGGCTAGTATTTAAAAGAAACGTTTTGAAAATCCCACTCGTACTTCTCTTTAAAATATGATTCTGAAGATATTGCAAAAAATGTAAGCTGTCGCAGTTATGCTACGTGTCGTTTTGAACGTTCGTAGCAAAAAACCTTTAAAGTTTTGGTTCCCCATATACATTATTAAGCAAAGTTAAAAACCTCAATTTTTTGAATATTTAAAATATTTCTGCTCCCTTGTCATCTTTGTTTATCACTTAAGAGTATACACATGCATTGGGTTGTATTGGAATTAGTTAAGTTCGGTACATCATTCACTTCTATATCTCATCTTACTATAGTAGGGTTTTATTTTAGCTAGTTGAAAAATTGCCCTCGATATTGGGGAGGTTCTAAGAGTTCCGCTTCTTGCTTTTTTATTTGAATAGTAAAACGTGCTAGATAGCGTTAAAATCAATGGTCTTGAATTTAAATAGTTTCATCATTCAAATATAACACTTTTAAGATTTAATTATCACTCTGTCCACTAAATGTGAAAAAAATGCATGTAGAAAACCGTTACGGTTTATTGTTGTATGGGCTTTTAAGTATGGAAGTAACGACCCTAAAGGGTATAAAAATTTGTTGTTTAAAATAAAAATAAACGCTTGACAGTGCGCGCAAAGCCATTCTTGCTTGCATAGCATCTCACACACAGACATACAGATTATTATTTTGCAAATATTGTTAATTTTATTTAAAATAGCTCTCTTCAGATTCTATAGAAGGTTTGCAGAGTCGAGCAGCTTGTTAAACGGAAGGTTTAGGTCGTCGCTACACTTAGTCTTCAAGATGTCGATGCAAGCCTTTTGGCTCAGAAAATACCATATTCGGACGGCTCTGAATACAACGAATAGTTAATAGTTGCAATGTGATTGGTTGTTAAAAAGTCCGTTGCCAGTCGCTGTCCCGTTTACTTTGATAAGAGCGCAAAAAGAGCTTTCAAAGATGTAAGTGTTAGGCCAACTGTTGATGAATTGGTCGAATTATAATAAATTTATTGATTAGCAGGTCGCAGCACTCGCGTGTGGTATTTCGAAAAAGCCTGGTTACCTGCTTTAAAAAAATCACCCCGTAATAGTGTTGCTTTACTTAAGAAATGAAACGTATCTTCTTACACTAATATATGGTTTTAAGTTGTATACGCTTAATTAATAAGTTTTCTCAAGAACATTTTTGATAGAACTATCTTTTACAGGCCTACTAAGATAGCTTTTTTGAGACGTTTCTGCTTTTGCACGTTCATAGGGATTTTCTCGATTTTATTGATAGCTTAACCTGTGGCTTTATTTAAAAGTGGCTAGTCAAATAGTAGATTGAATTGATTAATAATCTCATTTTCAAAACACTGCGCAAATGGTTTTTTCCCCAATAATTTATCTTACTCAGAGAGTTTTTACTATTAGTCTTTTTTATATATTGCATGTTTAGACTGAAGATATGGGCATCTTGTGGGATATTTATGTTAAGAACAGCATTTCAGCGTTGAGTCATTGTGATAAGAAATACGTAATCCCGGTCACTCTGTTATTATTACTCAGATCAGAATTCAGGTTATAGCTGCCTAAGAGAGAACAAAACAAAGATAAATTTGTTTTCTTAAAATAACATAGATACGTAAGATATAAATGTACCTATGTGTCACTATAGATATATACAATAACGGCAAAATAAGCATTTTTATGCTTTGCTGTTTATTTTACATGACGGTAAACAAAGTAAGTGCAAAATATGTTACATTTCTTATATCTACTTTCCAATCGCAATATCTGCACGATAAAAGGCAGTATGCTTATTTAAATGCTTATATTTCGGCGATATGAAATGAAAGACTTTGAATTGTGGCCAAAGCTTTTACGGTTGAACGCTTAATCTAAGGAAATTGTGTTTGCTTTTACAGTATAAGTTCTGCGTGCTAAAAATGAGTCGACCCTAAAAATTGCGTCATAAATATCATATTTCATATAACATTTAGACGCATTATGTAAGATAGGTATATTTAAAAACAATCTCTTCATCTAAAAACTGGCAAGTTCAGCTGACTAAAAATTAGTTAATGAATGCGAGTCCCCTAAGAGCCATCCATTAAGACAGGCAATATGAAAAAATTTGTAGCGAGAAAATCTTTTGAATGTTTTAAGCTTAATATAAGTTTTTGTCACGATATAAATTTAAGATATAAAGAACACAACCATTGCGTGAACCAGAAACGGTCCTTTCGCTTTAATGATCTTAGCGTAATAAAATTTCTTTTGGGTTGACTTGTGGATTTTTGTGTTATGTAGAGTAGAAATTTGATGAATATTTGGTGGGGAGGAGTTTATGGTTTGTATATAACCTTCGAGGCTATTACTTCAATTGAAAACGTATAGCCCCAAGTTTCTTGTCAAAGAAATTTTTTGAAAACAACGACTATCCAAAGCAACGCTTGCAATGCTTTAATCATAATAAAAAGTATGCGTGTACAGTAACCAAATTTTGTGTATAGACCGTATGAAACACGCTGTATAATTGATGAACAAAATGTTTTTTCCTATTTCTCAAACTGTTACGTAGACAATTTTATTAAGAACAGTATAGTTTAAAACAAAAAAAACAAACAATATGTATAAAACAGTGTTTCCAAGAAAATTACCTTTCGTTTAGGCAAATGAAAGTGAAACAGTGAAAGTGTTTTAATAAATAAAATAAAGCAAAAAAAGTATATGCATCTTTAATTAATAAGAAAAACGGAAATTGGAATGTTTGCTTTACAGCCTGCCCCGACAATGGGTACCGTTGTCGCACCCTGGTCTGGGTCGATGATTGATCGGTTGTCATCACTGGAAGATATGCCACCAAAAGGTAAAAATCTTCGACTTTTCATTTTATTTCATTAATTTTTTCATTATATGTTAAATTACCTTGATTTCTGTTCTTATTTCTACCTTACGTGTTCGCTCACAAAAAAAAAATTGTTTCTTTAGATAAGCTAGTAATTCCGACTTTAATCAATATGCATTGTCCTCCTTCATCGATTCGTCTTGGTCATTAGTTCTTACGAAGTTTTCATACAATATTGATTTTATGGATGGCAACGAGGTCTATTGTTCCTCTCTCTCTCTCTCTCTCTCTCTCTCTCTATCTCACTCTCTCTCTTTCTGTTTATCCCGATCTCTCTCGCTCTGCCTTTCATTCTCTCTTTCTCTGTTGTTCGCTATAACTGACTCATTTGTCTCCAGAGTTGACATGTTATTATTTTCCCCCTGTGTAGACGGTATATACTTCCGAAATTTTGAAATGTTTGTACCATTGACCGAATGATAGAAGTTTCATCATTTTGTCACTCCTTTTAAAATAAACAAAAGTATACCCAAGAGACGCCGTAAAGTGTGTACCGGTTTGTTTAGCTCGAAACCCGTAGGCGGATTTGCAAACCCTGTGTTTGAAGTCTTCTTACATCTTATTATCCCAAGGTCAAAATATTGAAATACTGACTTGATTGAAACATGCAATTATAAAGTTTGAAAACGAGCGAGTAAATATGCGCAACCAAAAGAGCAAAAATAAATAAATGATTAAATATATACAAATCAATCGCTAAAATAAGTACCAAAAAAATTGATTATTGTTATATAAAAATTATATGCAAATCATCAAAAACTTGTGATAAGCAAAATCTGTTTTGAATATTTACAGTTCAAGTTTAGATCCCTTAAAAATATGTTTTTCTTATTCGATTTAAAAGAACCTTTAGCAAAGAAAAGAAATGAGCTCATTGTGGGCATCTACGACTTAAAGAGATTCCGGTGTCCATTCTGAAATGTTATAAAGACAATAGATAGTTTAATATAACTTAATCCATAGAAGATGTATATGTACCTACGCTTGGCCCGTATCAATATATTTCTAACATCTTCGACAGGGATTGGTTACATTACCTAGTGGTTTAAAATATATTCTATCCGGACTAGTGCTTGTGTCACTACTTTTAAAACGCACGTTATGTTTTTTGTAAATTATGAATGAATCCTTTTCGCTCTCGCTAGCTAATTTTTCTGCAAAGTAATTTAATGACAATATCTGCTTAATGCTATTGTTTAGTCTTTCTGATGTTAGCAACTTCCCATTTTTTTGACAACTTTAATTCTCCGTATCCTAATGCTGCTACATTTGAAATTTATAGTAATATTTGAAAGTCTCAATACAGAACAAATAGAGACGATTTCTTGGAGGAATCAAATTTTGTAATCTTTAAAAATTTTTTGAGCACATGTTATTAGTAAATAATGTTTACAAATTTCAATCTTACAATTTCTGGTAAAATATTCTGAAATAATACATCAAGAATGCTAACTTTTGAAGCTTATGTAATGCTTTTTTGAACATTAAAGCCCAGTTTTGGTTAGACTTCGCAGGAAGTTTTGTATTTAATGTCGAAAAGCATTCGTAACAGGGCCCAAAAGTTTACCGGATCATCGGAAATTTATCAATTCCGCACTGCTTCCTTTCTTTATTCAAGATCAAAGACCCTCTTTCAATTAATAAAATTTTTTTTAAATTTTTTTTATGAATTCTTTTATCTTTACAAAGCTCATATGGAAATTTACTTTCAAGGGAATTCACATACTTTACATTAACTAAAATAGTAGAAATCCGAAACCCTATATTAAAAGTCCATGAAATAAGGTCGAAATAAAATGTGTTATTATTAGAATTTAAAAAACGCAATGACGAATGTATGTGCGCTTCGTTTAAATCTATCAACAGAAAATGCTTTGAATATACCTAATAATTCCGTTCTCAAATATTTACAGGATCAAATTAAATAAAAATCATATTTATGCCAATTTTTTGCCAATAATTTTATCCTGATCTTTACGAGTCTTGACTTGTTGAATCTATAATCGTCCAAGAGAAGATCTAAGGTGGTTGCATGTATTTTGACCAATCTTTCACTTGAAAAAGGAATTTATTGAAAGATATTAGTACTATATATATAAATCAAAATATTTTGCATCATCTACAACTTTTTCCCATCTTTCTGGCAACATAGTGATACCGTGACGAAAGAACGATGTACCTGTCATCGCATTTCGCACTTCTTCAACTTTTCGAGACCGGGTGTCAGCCAAGCCCTGCTGTATCGATTCCAAGAAATGGTCATCAGAAAGCGCCATGTTCGGTGAGTAAGCTGGGTGCACAACTTCCTATGCGAGCTGTAACAGTCTACGACAATTTTGCCTATGTGTGTCCGACCTTTGCCATGCAAGGGGATGACTTTGCGTCTGTTAACTGTCATTGAAAGTCTTTTTTGAAACAATCCATCGTTCAATTAATTCATTTGACGGCAATAGACATTTGCAGCAACAGCTTCAGTCGGTTTTAGCAACTTGTAATGCACTTGATGATCCCACCATATACACAGCAAAACTTTATGGCCAGGAATATTCCGCTTCGGTGCCTGTGTGGATGGCACTCCTGGACTAATTCATGACGTTTTGCGCTTGGGATTAACGCAGTAGACTCACTTTTCATCGTTAGCTACAATACGCCATAGGAAACCACATTTTTTTTGCCTGGCAAATAATGAAACCCCGGTGTTGAACGGTTCGAAATGGCACTTTCAGTCAATTCGTATGGCAGCCATTTACCCTGTTCCCTGTTTTGGATCTTTCTCATTACATGGAAACGTTTAAAACCAGTCGATTCATCAATTGGCGACTCGAAAATTTTTTGGAAGGTTGAGCTTGGCTTCCATTCAATAAGTCTTGCAATTCACATTTATTCAAATGAAACAAAAAAAGTAATGAATGCTGAAAATACAAATTCGAGCATTTATGATGAATGAATGCTGAATAACACAACAATATTAAATGGAAGAGAGTGATTTTATGTAAAGAAAGGTCAAGATGATCAATTTTAACGGTGTATGCGTTGATACTTCGCATCATTTTTGAAGTTTTACCAACAGATAAATACAAAATACATGCATATACCTATGATTATAGTGCTATGATTATAGTCATAAAAATTCCAGAGAATAAAGTCAAACAACCAAACATAAAATTTATTCGCTTGAAGAATGATGAGGTGAAAATTTAATGAAGAAAAAAATCTCAACCAAGCGAAGAGAATATCAAAAGGTGTTGGTAATGAAAACAAAGAGCCTCTCAACTTTAGTCATTATATGGCCTATATGTAAATTTTGTCGGATTGTATCATCAAATAGCATAGCTAAATCAGGTAAACATGAAGTATTTCCCGAGGGAAGACGGATGATGTCGTCAGCGTAGGAAGAGGATCTCTTTTTAAAAATACGAGTTTTATGCGTTCATTCCAATTTAGCGATATTTTAGTCGGAATAACCTGATATCGATGGTTCTAGAATTAGTTAAATGAGCGATTATTTGAAGCCATAAATTTTACTGCACAGAAGCGTACACCAATTTACTTATGTTCACTACCGCATTAATCAAAGTTTTTGTTTGTGTTTTATTTCACTATTTTTACTTCACTTCACATACCAAAAATAATGAGAAGTTATAAAGAAAAATCGTCAGAAAGCGATTACGAAGGCTTAGTGAATTGTTTAATAATGTAAAAACCTTCTCTTTATTCCAAATTTGTTTATTCTATTTTTACTTGTAGACAATGTCATATCCATGAAAAATATACCGTGTTTGGGCGTTACTGGTAGTGGCGGTGACGTTGGCGCGGAGGGCATTACGACAGGAAAAGCTGCTACTGCGGTTCTGGATCCAACTACCGCGGAAGCAACAGCAACGCCTCACGCCTCAACCTATTTTGCGTCCACCTACTACCATTTAAACGACGATGAATGTATGTTAAAAGAGAAAATTAAACCGTACTTTAAATACACCTTTAAAAATAGTATACCTCTTTTTTCTCAAATACACACGTACATGACGAAAAAAATATATATATAAGAATGTATATGTTTATGCATATATATGTATGTGCGTGTGCGTGTGTGGATGTGTGTGGGTGCACATTAAATGTAAAAACCAAAATATATATTAACATAATAGCCATGTGTCCATTTCGCTGTAAATATGCAGCCTCCATTTCATGGGCACGCGTAAAGTGGTTTCGCGTAACCATCATATTCAGTGTTCATTTTGTCACGTAACTTGGCGTAATGTATTCCGTTATATTGTTTCATCTCTCTTTGTGCATAAAAACAAATCCTTTCTCTACAGTGAACTATGCTACACTATACAAAGTAATGGTAAAATGGTTCACTAACTGCAACAAGCTAAGCTATACAGCAAAAACAGTTCCCGAACGAAAATTGTTTGAGCATACCACATGTAGCACACCTACGTGAAAAAATTTGAGGTAAACTATAATAATACTTAAAAGTTTACTGTTTCTTTTTTATTACTCTTTCAGTATTTAGTGCTATGCTCCGTACCGCTTACTATTGCTCGACATCTTCGACTCAAAGTTTCGGCAATTTTTCAACTATGTTTTTGCAATTTTTGAACCTTGCTTCCCAATTCTTCTTTTCAACGGGTTTCCATAAATTTTTTTTGAGATTATAATTAAGCATTGTGCTCCAAAATAAATACTTTCTTGCGAAATTATAAGCCCTCACCGACAACTAGGAATTTAGGCCATTATTGTATTAAAAAAATGCAATTAACGATGGATTATTGGAATGTATTTACTTTGACCAATATTCTTCTAATGGGCGACCGTTGACCATAAAGCAAATCTATCCATACCACTATTTTACCTTCCCCAATTTTAGCTAGTTTCTGCGCGTACTTTACATTGTATGCTCCTGAGTTTTTTGTCGGTACGCCAACGTTCTCTCACTTATTTTGACACTATTTGTTTTTTCCCCGTGGCTGCACAAAACTTTCTTTCAGAAACTTAATAAGTCGTTTCTATTGTGTACTCTCAAAGAGTTACACTTCATTTAGGTGCCTTTTTTGCAATCTGCCTAACATACGTAAAGCAAGATCCTTATTAATTTCGTCAGCGATTTCTCTAGCAGTTGTTGTTTCCTTATCTGTAAAATGGCATTGCCAATTGAAGCTGCAGTTTTGCTTGGTTTCGATTTGACCGTTTTTTTATTACACAATAAATATTATTCTCACTTATTCATTTAATTGCATTATGAACTACCTTCATAAGATGCAACTCATAGCCACTTTTATTTATGTTTTGATTAAATTAAATGTTTACACGAGGTTTAAGGACTGATCAAGAACCAATCTTCAACCACTTGTGTAAGACTGGATACGGAAAAGAAATAAAAATTTTGGTAAAATATCAACTAAGAGTTGAAAAAGAAGTTAACATACCACGGCAGTCGTGGTACGATAAATTTTTCACGCAAGAGTTTTCAAGTAGCACACACAAATCCCATTTGTAAAACATTTGGGGAATGTATTCTAAAATGTTTTTACAAAATTTGCGAAAGACTGATAAAGCTTAAATATTGTCCTGAGAGGAGCAAGATATTTCGCATATCAAAAAAATCTAATTAGTAATTAAAACCTATTCTAGGGGTTCAATTTAAATTTTAGGGCTTCTGCTTTTTAATGTAATTAGAAATTTTAACGAGAATACTCAATATATTGTTTCTCTAACGTTTTTCGTACAATCTACTTTCATGTGTTTATAACATGGTCGTCATAATTATTTATATCAAATTACAAAACGTTATATGCTGTAAAAAAAAAAAAAAATAAAAAGCTTTTGAAACTTAGTAATTAGAAGACATATAGACATGTTTAATTTGGTTGAAAATATCAGATTGATGAACGAATTATTCTCTATTATTCTATAAATTTGAATTACTAGAATAGCCTCAATTGGTATTCTAATATAGCCACACCTAACGTAATACCACCGTTGTCCATTTCGCCACAAGTTTAAGATGCTTTATGTCTTTTATATACTAGAATTTGCTAATTTTTATATTTTGTCTGTTGGAAAACCATACCTCTTTTTACGTTGTTATTTATTAACTAGAACTAGTGCTTTTATCAATTGGAACAAAACTTGTTTTCTGGTTATATTTTTACTGACCGTTTTCGGGGATAAAATCCACCGATATGATCATAATATTTCATACTTTGATTGTAAACGGACGCAGTTTCAATTGCAATGTTTTTAGACTATAAAGAATTGTGGAATTTACATCAATGTGAATACCTCCACTTCCAGTTCTGTCGTTACTTGGTGATTAAATTTCATCTTTGAAGCTAGTAAGCTCATTTTCATGCGCAGTTAAAGGTGTGTTTGAATTCACATCATTTAACTACTGTCTCAACTGGACTCATGTGGATTTACCAGTTTTTTAATTCTTCTGCTTACAATTTAGCAATCCTTCTGGTTAGAATATATCAATTCAATTCACTTCATCACGTAAAAGATATGATATATTTTCATGGATTAGGCGATTGGTGTTTGCGCAAAAAGTTGGTGAGCTACTTAGGGACTTTCGAAAACTATTTACCTAGTTGCTTATGGTTAGAAAACAATAGTGCTTAGATTAATTTCGTAATCATAGTAAATAAACTTTACGAACGAAAACATAAATAGTAATATAAACTGTAATTCGGAACTCAGCTGGTAAAAATCTTAATCATAATGCTTACATCCTTCCAGAAATAAAGGAAATGGAAGTAAAAAGAACAATAGTGATAGTGTTAAGAATAATTCAATAAACGTAAGATGAGATACACATATAGAGTTAGCTATTTAACTATCAATTGTGGGGGTTTTAGCAAACCGATTGCTGTCATTTTCCGACTGAACATGAAGGTGGTACAGGTGAATATCTATATATCTATATATCTAATTTAAAGCTCAACATGAGATAGAACATTTGCAAGTTACTTCAGTTTTTTGTCTTCTTGGATATGGTAGAAAAAAGGTGTGGATAGAAAAATAATCGATCATAGGTATTTAAAAGCCTTTTCGTATAAATAAAAGTCATGAACAAATTATCAAATATTTCATGATTTTAAGCGTCTTTTTCCAAAAGTTGAAAAGTTGCAAACGCATATCTAAAGTAAAATTTATGAATAAAAAATTCTGAATAACTCAAGGAACTTGGAGAAATATGCTACAGCGACATTGTCGAATACTTCGTAACCTTTTTGCAAGGAATAACCGATGATTGCTATAAAGACAAGTTTCAAATTTTTTTTATTTCATTCTCTTTTACTATGTTTTTCTTTTTCTTTTTTTGGTTTCAAAGCATAAACTTTAGTCTTGAAGTAATTTTATTCTATGTTACACGTTGTATCCCTTTTGTTACCACCGTTTCCCACAGTAATCTTTTGCTAGCAACTTTTTACACATTTTTATTACAAAGAGTGTTGTGGTATTAAGTTAAATTTGAGGTGATGAAAAAGAAAGAGAAAAATATGATTCACGTCATCGAGGCCGAGTTATGGTATATTTAAGAACAACAGAGTTTATCGATGTACTGAGCATTTAAATAAGCCTATTAATGGAGATGCACTTCGTAATGGCGAATTCAATGGTTAATCGATGTATAAACTCTTTGCAACTAGAGAAGGGTCTTGAATAATTAAAATGGTTTTTTGTTGCTATACAAGCAATGTGATCCACGCATTGTTTTTTGAATTGAAGTGTAAGCGTATTTTAAAAGCGAAGTTTTGTAGCTTTTACATTTAATTTCATTGCTGCTGCATTGTTAAGGCTGTCTTAATTTCGCTATTCACCACCCTTGTCACAAAACAACGTCCGGTTGTCTCTGTCCTACTCCCACTAGCTTACAAACGTAAATACCGAAAATTTTTTTTTGTGACAAAACTTTTATATGGATATGCTGTACATGTTTAAATAACTGAAGTATTATAAATCTAAAGGTGCTAGAAGTTTTTCTCGAAACTTCCCCAATTTCACAAACACATTTGATTCATCACTTAAATTTTTAAACGATCTGCGTGATTACTCGTCAGGCATTATACGCTTGTTTTAGTCATCACATTGCTAATTTCTGTAGAAGGTCAAATCCAAATTATTGAAGATAGTGGTATCCTTTCAAAGAACTGGGTATAACTACAAAGATGCTTATAAATCTGATATACAAGTTTAAAAATCATTGCATCGCATATATTTTAAATGCGATCGTCATGCAATTGTGCGATAGAAAAAGTTCGATATCTTGCTTGTTAACAATATAAAGCGGATAATAGTTAAAATGACTTTTACAAATGTTTTCCTTGACTTCCCTTTATATTGTAGTTTGTACGTATATAACTAATAATGACATCACTTAACAGAGTAAGAATGACAATAGAAATAATGTCAACCGTTGTCACAATGCATAAATGTCAGTTATTGTTAATGGTGCTACTTCATTGTCATCATTATTGTCGTCATCGTTATTTTGATAAAATTTATGTGATCAGTTGAGTGGTCTGAACAATAGAAATAACCCGGAGATTTTAAAAACAAACTATAAAACTAGTCAAAGAGAGACAGAGACAACGGGAGAGAAAGACACTTATGGGGGGTTTAAAAACATGTGCAAGATATGTAGTGCGAAATGACCCCAAGCATTATTACCAATTTCATATTACTGGAAATTTGTAGGCAAATAAATCGAATTGGTGGCACGACCGTAAAGTATATACATGAAAAGAAATTTTTTAAATGTTGGAAGACTTTATCCTCTTTACATGTAAGAAACAGAATATTATCTTTTCGAGCCGGGGCAATAATCTCTCAGTAAATGTGGCAACGAATAGGGCCATTCATATCTTTTATTTGGCTTGAAAAATCGAAGTATAAATATGGAAGTTTGCGAAAAATTTTTAAATTACTAT